AAGATAGACTTTTCCTAGGTTTCCTGAAACGTAGTTCTCAAATAAATCTCTATTTGAGGTAGCATGAAACGAAGCTCCTGAATTTGCTCTCCAACGAACAGATTAGGGCATCATCTGATTCTCCTGAGGCCACGTTCGCTTCAGTCTTGTTCTCCTTGTCTTTCTTGGGTTCTCGGCACTGATTTTCATAGTGGCCAAACTTGCCATAATTCCAGCAGTCTATTTCCTTCTTGCCCTTGCGGTTCCTGGACTTTGGCCTTCCGTTCCTCGAGTTAGATCTTCCTCGGCTATTCCCTCTATTTCTGTTTCTGTTTCTTCCTCTGCCCTCAAGGTTCAACGCCGACCCTGAATTAGAAATCCCTTCCTCTTGTCTTCTTATTTCCTCAGTCATAATCATGTCCACCACCTCTGAAAACTTCAGTTTTGATTTGCCACATGATCCGCTGATCGAGATAACGGTACCCTTCCAACTGTCGGGCAATTGACCAAGTATCAAGAGGGCTTGGATTTCATCGTCAAACTGAATATTGACCGAATTTAATTGATCCATGGTCTCGTTAAACTCGTTCAGGTGTTCCTTGAATTTCTGGCTCTCGGACATCCTCAAATTAAACAGCTTTTTAATGAGATGTACCTTATTCGCCGCAGAGGGCTGCTCATACATACTGGACAACGCCGCCATGAGATCCGCCGTCGTATTCTGATTCTTGATGTTGAACGCTACTGATTTAGACAAGGTCAACCTGATCGCTCCAAGGGCCTTTCGATCCAATAGCTTCCAATCCGCATCTTTCATATCCGTCGGCTTCTCTCCCAATGGTAGGTATAAATCCTTCTGATAGAGGTAATCCTCCATCTGCATCATCCAGAACCCGAAGTTTGTTCCATCAAACTTCTCAATCTTGGATGTTTCCTTCTCAGATCCCATTGTCTCTGACCTCAAATCGCTCGCACCGAACCTGATCGCTCTGATACCACTTGTTGGGGATGCACAATCCCCCTGATGCGATTTGGAAATAGAGATTTAAGAGAGAAGAGAGAAAATCAAACAATCTCAAACACACAAGATTTACGTGGTTCGCTTCTCAATGTGAGAAACTACGTCCACGATCGCCGCAGGAGAAAAATTCACTATTTTTCGTCTCTTTACATCATGCCCTAATCAACCCTTTTATAGACTTAAGGGTTTAACCAATAAAAAAGAAAACAGAACAAAACAGGTTAAAATTCGAAACTGGGCCAAAACCCGACTCCGGTCGACCGCCGCACCACGTGCGGTCGATCGCGACGAATCCTATTCCTGATCGAGCTCTCTGGACTTTGGGCGGTCGACCGCAGCGCCATGTGCGGTCGACCGCGAAGCTAACTGCAGACTGGGCTTGATCTCTGGACTTTTGTCGGTCGACCACATCGCCATGCTCGGTCGACCGCGATGAGCTCCTGGCCTGTGCACCCAGCTGTGCACGACATCGGTCGACCGCCGCGCCATGGCCGGTCGACCGCGATGCAGAAAACTGTCTCCTTCGTCGTTTTTGCTTGAACTTCTCCATCGTCGATCTTGTTCCTCCTGTTCCAACTTTGTTCCTCCTCTCTTCTGAAGTATAGGGCATGCTTGATAGTTAGGCTTCACATATCCTAACAATATAAACACATTAAATTGTGACAAAAAACATTAAACACAATTAAAAACATAAGCAAATACAAAAACATGAGACTTTTTTATTCAAAGTTGCATTTTCATGACAATATACAATTACATTCTATTGTTTGTCACCTAACACAAATATAAGCAACACAATTACAACAATTACAATAGATGCAAAAATATATTGGATTTCTCCTACTAATCTCTTGCATCTCATTCTTCATTGAAAGATTCTCAATTTTCGGTAGATTATTTTTATTTGCAAACTTCTTCAGATCATTTTCCATCTCATCCATCTTTTTGCTCATCTCTAGAAGCTCTTCCTTTAATTTCTTCTTCTCACTAATTAGCCTATGCATCATGTCTCTTGACCTCCCAACAATCTCACTATTATACCATATAAAAAAATTATATTTTTTTTATCACAAATTGAAGGACTTAAGAAATGACAACTGAAAAATCTTCTCATTGAGTTAGCTTCAATCTTCTAAGTTAGCATTGAAGCCTTCAGTTTGTATTTGCACAAAACCTCCATGGATCTTCCATGACAATATGAAGAAGAATTCGTTGACTATTCAGTAGCCATTGATAATTGAAATATCACTCGAAACACTAGGAAAAAGTAACTAAAAACGAAGATGGAGTTTAGGGAAGAAGAAAAAGAGGAGAGGGAGTTTAGGGAACAAAGATCCAGAAGAGGAGAGGGTGTTTAATGTCGGAGTCGAGATTGGGTTTAAGGAAGAGGATGAAGAGGGGGCACATGAGATTCATATGCCTTCTTTTACCTGGGTTAGGTCGGGTGAGTTAATGGGGTGTCACGTGTTTTACACGGAGGGGTTGAAAGGTATTTTGGTTAGGTCACAAGTTTTTAGGTAGATAACATAAATTTGTGTGACATTAAAAGCATGATAGCAAATAAATATGGTATTCATAAAAAAAAGTAAAATGTGGTAACCATCAATTTGGGTAAAAGTTAAGGTGATTTTGATGTAAAAACTCTATTCTCTTTTCTGTCATTTTAGCTCGCTTTTAATCAATCATCTTGGCTTGTAACACTATTTTTCAGGTGTTTTTTACTTTTACAACACTATATTTTCCCAGGTTAAGCTTAGTTTCATATCAATCTAAATAATATGAAAATCCAAATTAACTTCAGATTAGACCATCTCCAGCAGGAGGTGAAATTTTACCTCATTCTCTCCTGCCACATCACTTTATTTAATTCAATAATCTTCATTTCCCTATCAACTCTACAGCAGGAGATTTTTCAGAAAGTTTTTTACTTTATTTGGGACCCACCATAAACCACTTCACTTCAACATATACCCCACCATATTTATTCATTCTTTTTCCTATTTCATATATATTACTATTTTATTATTATTATTATTAATATAACTCATATATTTATAATTATAATTTATTAATAATTCAATAAATAATATATAATATTTAAATATATATTATTAATTTAATTTTCAATAATATTTTTATGTTAACATAAAATAACACACGATTTTATTAAGCATACGGAAAACCAAACACACCCAAATTATTGAAAACATTAAAGAAAACACACACTAAATTGGTAAATCTAATCGGAGGTTGTCCCAAACTTCTGCCAAATGTGCTCGATGAGATCCTTCTTCAGCTGAATATGTTGGGTCTTATCTCGTAGTTCCGCTCTAGTCTGATTATCTGCCTCAGATCGGTGTTGAACATGGACTTGAAACTCCGGCAACACGTCTGTTTGAACATTGAAAGAGGCGCTAGAGCTAGCATTGTTCGACGGTTCAAAGTCGATATTTTCCCAGTTTCGCGAATACGTATCTCGTTCATCCTCTACTATCATGTTATGTAAAATAATGCACGCCCTCATTATTTTTCCTAAGACATCAAGATCCCACATTCTAGCTGGTTGGCGGACAATAGCGAAGCGTGCTTGGAGTACCCCGAATGCGCGTTCCACGTCCTTCCTGCATGATTCCTATTGTTTGGTAAAAAATTGATGTTTGTTGCCTTAGGGCATTTGAATTGACTGCACGAAGACAGGCCACTTAGGGTAGATTCCGTCGGCAAGATAGTATGCAATATTGTACTCCCGCCCATTCACTGTGAAGTTTACCCGTGGAGCTTCACCAGACTCAATGTCGTCAAAAACCGGTGACCTATCTAGTACATTTATGTCATTCAAACAACCAGGAAGCCCTGAAAAAGCATGCCATATCCACAAATCATATGACGCAACTGCCTCGAGGATAACTGTTGCCGTCCCCTTGTGTCCACTAGTAAACTGCCCTTGCCAAGCCTTAGGACAATTTTTCCACTGCCAGTGCATGCAATCAATACTTCCAATCATCCCTGGGAATCCACGTTCCTGTCCAACTTGGAGCAACCTCTGCAAGTCTTCCACATTTGGTCGTCGTAAGTATTCATCTTGAAACAATGCTATTACCCCTTCGCAAAACTTGCGAGTACACTCGATAGCAGTGGATTCTCCTATCTTGACGTACTCATCACAAGCATCGGCTGCGACTCCATATGCGAGCATGCGTATGGCAGCCGTACACTTCTGGATAGGCGTTAACCCAAGCTTGCCCGCATTATTGCGCCGTTGTGTGAAGTAATCGTCGTAATTTGATATAGAGTCCACAATTCGTAGAAAGAGAGGCCTTTTCATTCGATACCTGCGTCGGAACTGGGCGTCAGTGTAAGTGCATGACTCGGCAAAGTAGTCGGCCATGAGTCTCTCATGCGCTGCATGATGATCTCTATGTATGGATTTCCTCTTACGTGGTTGTTCGCTTCTCCTTTGCAATTCTTCAAGAAGTTCTCGCTGCCTATCAAGTATTTTTTCTTCTATTTCCCATTGTTGTTGGAACTCTTCTAGACTAAACTCATTTAGGAAAGGATCCATTGGATTCTATGATTTTTGAAATGTTGATAGGTATACTTATGATGTGCATCTGATCAGTTTATATAATGAAGGGTAGTTGTTCAAATAATTGAATTTACATGCAATTGCAGAGACATGTGTCATAGGGCATGCATGTGCAGAGAGTTGCCAATTCATATTTTGTATTATTATGCAGGTGTAGTCATTTCATCCTTTGTATTTTTTGCAGTGAAAGGTCAATTCAACATTTTTTTTGTTTTTGCAGTGAAAGGTCAATTCATATTTTGTATTATTATGCAGGTGTAGTCATTTCATCCTTTGTATTTTTTGCAGTGAAAGGTCAATTCAACATTTGTTTGTTTTTGCAGTGAAAGGTCAATTCATATTTTGTATTATTATGCAGGTGTAGTCATTTCATCCTTTGTATTTTTTTGCATGAAAGGTCAATTCAACATTTGTTTGTTTTTGCAGTGAGTAGTAATTGTATCTTTTGTACTATTATGCAGTGAGAAGTCATTATCAATCGGCTTTATTGAAACATAAACAACAATTTTATTCAAACATAAACAACACTTTTATTAATACATTCAACAAACATAGGCACCCACACAACTCCAAAATTAAACAAACGGCACACAAAAACATCAGAAAGAAAACACACAATCATAACTTCTTGAGAAGGTCTTATTTTCCAAACAGGTTCTTCCTCAACATATTATAAGCTTCTTCATCTTCATCGTCACGATCTGGTTTGTTTTTCAAGAATAACCACATCTCCATATTCTTGGAATGAGCCAGGTTATTCATAGCTGAAGCAGTACTTGATCTTTTCTCTTCAAATTTTTCATGAGCACTGACTAGCTTAGATAACTCCTCCTCAATTGCCCCCTTTGATTTCCTTGACACAGATGTTTTACTAGAGGAAGCTCTAGCTTTCTTCTTTGCCACGTCCCTACCCTCTGGACGTACAAGGGTAGGAGTTGATGATTCAACATCCTCACCACTACTCTTTCTTTTAGAGCCACTACTACCGGATGCATTTCCTCCTGTCATATATTTGGGTTGATTACGAACCACCTTCCACTCATCCACCAAATTAAACGTCGTACCTATTTTCTCAAAGTACAACTCTCTTGCCTTGGATATGTAGTTTTCATCGGACCAACCGCTACGCTTCTCCCTACATGCAGTACTGTAGCAGCCAATGAAACTGGATATCTTTCTGTTGATGTCTTTGAAATGACTATGGCACCGAGACACAATCCTCTCCTTTCCACTTTTGGCGTTCTCATTCACGTACTGTGTAATTTTACCCCAGAAAGTTTCACCCTTTTGGTTGTTCCCCAACTCACTATCATTACTAACGTGAAAATAACCAGTTAGTAAAAGTATGTTGTCTTCGGTGGTCCAAGTTTCATAACTTGATCTCTTTGCTGATTGTTGGGTTGGAGGGAGAAAACTGTGAGGAGTATCCCCACCAACATTTCCCAAAGACATTTGGGTAGAAAATTCTGGGATATCTGTAGATCCGCTACTAAACCGGGGTGTCGCTGGCTCACTCGACTCCGTGTTAGGACAATTCATATGGGAGGGAACATAGCTGCTTCCCGGAACTGGAGGATAACCGTAAGGAAGATAAGGATATTGCATGCCGAAATTTGGTTGCATCATATACGGCATTTGAAAATTGGGCTGCATCCCCGTATTTTGAGTATTTTCGGGGCGTTGTATATTTGGATGTTGTGGTTGAGGGAGGGTATTTTGAGGTTGGTTAGGAAAGTTGTAGTTGTAGGAAAAATTAGGATAGTTTTGTGAAGGATCCATGAAGAAACTAGCTTCAAATTGTAGAAAGAAGAAGAATAGGGTGTAGAAACTCAGATTTTTTTTGTGTCCAAATGACACAAAGTTAGTCTCTATTTGTAGAGTTTGAAAAATAAAAATTAATGGTATAAAAATTATAAATTAATTCATTGTATTTATCTCAAAAAATATCAAATAAAAATAAGGAGGAAAAAAATAAAGCTTGCCCAATAGAAATTCGCCATGTGTCCGCTTGCATCAAGGCGCGCGCGTGGGCTTGTCAGATTCATCCGGGGTGAAATTTTCACCCTCTCTCCGATCTCATTTATTTCACCCCACAAAAAATCCCCAGCTGCCTTCAAATACCCCACAAAAAATCCCCTGCTGCATATGGTCTTATAATTGTTTCATGTCAATTCAATTATCAACATGAAAATTTAAATTGGGTGTAGCTCATTCAGGTAAGAAACAAAAAATCACAATGTTAAAGTTTAGAAATATGAGAGAACAAAAACTATCAAAGTAAAATTAAATAATAACTTTTAGTTAGAAAATAAACTAAAGAACTTAATTATGATATTTAACACGTGCATAAAATATCTAGTGCAGGTTAAAATGTGACGGGAGAATAAGATGTTGACTACCAGTACCAGTAGACGAGGATACTCAATATATAAGTACGTGAGATACTCAATACGTGAGTACGGCTCCGTTTCCTTAACGTCTACTCGTTCTCTTTCTCTAATGACTCTCTCGTCGTTTTCAAAGCAATCAAAGTATGGGCCAGGTCATCGTGAACGCTGCATAATAATGAGCGGCTACTGAGATCCTGAGACTAATTCAATTGCACACCTTAATTGGCCAAATTAACGGTGATTAAAGGATAGCCCTCGAGATCCATCATCTACGTTTTAATTATTTACAATTGTCGAAAAAAATATTATATACTAGTTCTTAGCTAAAAACAAAGTAATTCTGTTAGGATCACTGCTAACTAATTGAAATTATGACAAAGCTCTAGGGACTCGCGGGCTTTAACTAGAGACCGACAAAGATGATCGAGGAAAACTTCCTTTCAAAATTTCGTCATATACGTTCTTTCTTTTGCCAACCTAGGCAAATGACGAAAACAATTAGGGGTAATTTGTCATGTAGATCAAATGGATCTTTTGAAGATGCAATGATTATGGGGAAATGAATTTAATCTAATAATTCCGTAACAACTGGAGATGATAATGAAAGTAGAAATGTTGTTGTCTATTTGATGATAAAAAAAAGTCAGTAATTGAGGATGACAATATCGCCATTAGCCACAAAATGAGATCAGGTGGGCTGTGGGACAATGCTGGCTCATCCCGACGGTTAGCCTGTGCGAGCTCAGTGGCAGGGTAAGCTAGCTCGTGGCTCACAGCGAGACTAATGAGTCATTTTTTATCGTTTGTTTTCTGACATGGAGCTCGACCCAACCCGCTCGGGCGTTCATGAACAAACGAGACGGGCTATGGGCCACCCACTTGTCTCGCTTTTTCTTAGTTTTTTTGGGTTTTTAGTTTGTTTATTTGTAATTGTTTTAAAGTATTATTTTACAACTAAAAATTGAGTGTAATTAGTAAACTAATGATCAAAAGATTATACAAAATGGGAAAAAACATTGTTATCTCATTAACTTGTTAAATATTTAACTGTATACTCACAAAATGATCATATTTAAACCACAAACATAATTTGATGAACAAAATAGGTAAATTAATAATTTAAAGAGAAACTTGAGAGTCACAAATACTTTAAAAGAGTAAGCTAGCTAGTTATTTTATCTATCATTTAATAGAACTTCATTGCATGATTACCTAGACATGTCAAATATTTTTGGTATGCGAGTATTAATTGAAAAATCTTAGCTGCATTCATACGTTCGACTTGTTTGTTACTAAACATTCACTTTTCTTTTCTTTTTTTAGGGGTGTTTTTTGATATTACTCGCCTACATATTTAGTATTTAGTAATTTGATGCTACTACCTCAAATCTTTATATTATGTTGATAAAAGTACTTATGGTAAGTTGAGGTTATAAATGAGGGGAATATTCCGTTATATCTAACTCTTATCTATAAATTGACATTTTTGACCCTTACTGAACAAAACCTAAACCCATCTATAAAAAAAAAAAACGTACCAATTTAGAACAACCTAAACCCATTTCATCTTCTTCTTGTCACCCAATTTGTTAATGGATCAAAGATTTTGATGCTCATTGAGGCTAATCCCTCAATTGGAGCTCAACTTACTTTGATTGGAGAGAAGAATGTGAAGGAAGAGAGAGTCGATGAACTTTTGATGGATTTGGATCGAATTATGATTTAGAGGAGGATGTGAAGAATTTGGAGGCTAATGAGAGAGAGACAATATTTGAGGTATTCACGCAGTCATGATTATGATTAACCCAACCGTGATTTACTATTTTTAACCCTAACCCTTACAGATGGACTTATATATACCAACACATAATGAAGATTAAGGGACTAATAACAAACATAGAAATTTAAGGTGCTAATATCAAATTACTAAGGATGTAAGGGACTAATACGAAAAAAGCCTTTTTTTTTAACCCGATTTACATGAAAAATGCATAGGGTTTTATCATGCGTGAAAAAAAAGAAAAAACTTCCACGCACAGGGAGGGGCCAAAGTCTAAGAAAACAAGACAAAAAAAATTTAATATCATCGGTCGGTAATCGTGCAACACATGAACTATATGGAGGACCGTGAAAAAAGTCACATCATAAATGATGAAAAAAAATATTATCAATTGGTTTTGGTGGTGCAAATATTACTTCGCAAATACATGTTTGATGTATCTATTTTAAAGTAAACATGAACCGAGAGACGAATATATAAAGGAAGAAACAATGATTGAATGAAAAGTAATCGGATGCACATATAAGAACAATAATCATGTAAGTAAAAAAAAAAAAAAACAATAATCATGCCTCCGTTACACGCACGCAAAGCGTGAGACCGAAGCATTATTGTGGCAGTCGCACGTTAGATGCCCGTGCCGCCTGCTGTTCTCCAGCTGGCAAAACACAAACAATTAAGGCACCAATTAAGGTCCCTTTGGTTGGTATCCTAAAAACCAAGAAAAGAAAATTGGTACATGTAAATCAATAAAATATTATTTTTATCTATTTTTATCTTTAAAACTCACGTACATCATCTAATAAAGTATTATTTTTCTCCAACAACTCATCACATCTCATCTCATTTCTTATTTTTAAAAATAAACCAAACACAAGAAATTGGTCACATCATCCAACTCATCTCATCTCATTTCCTCTCCTCTCATCTCACTTTTAAAAATCACCCACATCATCCAATAATATGATGACAGCTCATCTCATCTCATTAAAACTTCCTTTCCATCCATTTCCTTAAAAAAACAAGGAAATCGATTTCCTTAAGTATGCGTCACATCATCCAATAATATAATGACAACTCATCTCATTTCATCTATTTTCTTAGTTTTAAGAATGAACCAAACACAAGAAAAGAACCTATTATAGAAAATATGTTTCTTATCATTCATTTACTTATTTTTTTAGCCAACCAAACAACCTCAAAATATTTTTTATAATTTCTTTCTTAAAAAATCACCCACATCATCCAATAATATTGTGACAACTCATCTTATCTCATTTTATTTTTTACTTTTAAGAAGTGAATCAAACACAAGATAGAACCTATTATAGGAAATATGTTTTCTTATCTTTGATTTCCATGTTTTTTTTTTGCCAACCGAACAGCCCTTAGGGCATCTCCAACCCAGCCCCATTTTGGTGCAAACAGTGCTTTTTGTTGCACTGTTCCTTCTCCAATCCAGCCCCATTTTCTGCTCCATTTTGGTGCAAATGAACAGTGCTGCACCAAATATGGCGTCGCACTGTTCATCCGCCCCATTACTGTTCACTTTTTTTTAAATTTTTTTAAATATTTGTTTTTACCTCTCAATTAATATAAAAATAGATAAAAGGGAATAAAGTGAGAATATACTGAGAATATTCTTTTTTGATGCAAAAAATGGTGTAATGGGTTGGAGATGTATTACTATTTGATGTGACTTTTACACCATTTTGATGTAAAATTTGCACCATTTTGGTGCAATGGGTTGGAGATGGTCCAACTTCTATGCACGGGTCCCAGTGTCAGGAATTGATCCCACTAGAAAATTGCTAAGTGTATTATTCACATTATAGTAATTTGACAATGTTACTCACAAAAAGTAAAGTCATGATAATGGATCACTTGAGAATTGTAGTGGTGAATCATCACAACTCTACTCTTTTATGAGTAGTAGTGTTAAAGTAGTGCAGTAGGTTTAGTGTGTTTATCACTATATTTAATACCGCAGGTGAAAACAAAATCTATTTGGATAAGTTTATTATTTTCAAAAAAATAAAAATAAAAATAAAAAGAATGAGGTTAATGGGACATAGTCGTAGTCAATGGAGTTTTATTAATGATGAGCGTTGGTTGTTTGTTTACACGTCATTTCCCTTATCAAATGGATCCCCAAAAATGAAAGCGAACGCAGACTTTTTTAGTGCTGCGTCATTAATTGATTAGCTTTATTTATTTCATTCGTTTCTTGAAAATAAGTTCAAATTTAGCCTAGGATGTGCAAGTATATACTATGTTCTATTAAGTTTCGGATGACGTTGGATTCGTAAAACTTTGTAATCCTCTTTACTGTATAAAAAATGGTGATGAGGCTATTACTTAATTATAACCATTGATTATTTGCTGAGTGATTATAATTTTTTTTAAGCACAATTTAAAAATGAGTACAGTACACTAGTACGCTAAGTATTAGATTTAGAATATATCATAATCACTCACTAGATAATTAACAGTTAGGCTTAAAAATAATGGTCTCTTCGTTACTTTTTTTGTAGTAGAGACCGGAGAAGATCCAATTCGGCAAGATACATCACGGATTAACCCAATTCAATCATGGACAAAAACGTATAAAATCATGCATATCCATCTAACCGTAGTCTCAACTTAAAAATTAATCTCGATGTTTTGTCGCTTTACTCTATCAAATTCACACCTGTACTTGAAATTGTGGAACTGAAATAAACTCCAGATAGTCCTAATTCTCTCC